AAACCCAATTTAGACCCAGGAGAAAAACCCTCGAATCAAGGGAGAGACCTAACAAACTCTACTCACATGTGATGCTGAGTCCAGGAATCAAACCCGAGACGAGACGTACTACTACACCATCCTTGATTACAGTAATACACATGCAGAATTAGTCTTGAAGTTGTGTAAAACATTCATGTGTTCGACTGAAGATGTGCATGATATTTTTAGCATAACATCTTTTTTTCAGCATGGCCTTCAAAACCACGTCAGCGAGGAATTTGATCCAGGTCGGTTCGTCAGGATGTTGAGCGACTTGGGTTTCTGTGGAGGTTTGAATTCAGAGGAATTCTGCTATAAGGCTGGTGAAGCATTGTTTGGCTTTRACAGTTCAAACCTAAACATGGTAAGGATACAACTTATGCCTATTTCCATGGGTTATGGCTGCGCTTTCCGTAAATTACGTGATGGAATGATTTTATACGACTTCCATAACCCTGAAGATGTCCGCATAACGCAGAAGAAGCCCTACATATAAATTAAATGCCTGCATACAAGGATATTTTAAACCTATCCCTGATTTGCAAGTCATCGCCGCCATATTGCCATGCTATTTCTTGTCATAGCTCCCATTAATAATGCAGCCAACAGCCAATCAGAATGCAGGAAAGCCTTTATACATATATTTGTATTTCGCTTATCCTTCCCATCAGCCATCGCAGCCTAACTAATTTTCAACAAAGTTATACAATATGACTTCTCGTGGAAAACCATGGAACATTCCACTGGTCACTTTTATATTTTATTAGTAAAGTAAACCAGCTATCATCTGAAGAAAGCTCGTGTGTATAGATCCCTCGCCTTGCAGCACGTCGGATAAATCGCATTTAGTGGATAAATTTATCGGATAACAGCATCGACTTAACCACTGGATAAGGATTTATCTGCCGGATAGCGCTATCGAGACTTCGTACAACCGGGCCCTGGAGAACAAAACAATAGGTTTCCAATTCTCAGGAGATTGAAATTCTTTTGTTTTTGTCCTCCAAATCGAGCTGCTTTGACATAACATGCAAGCCGTTTATACTAGAAAATACAAATAATTGATGGGATATTTCATGGTATTCCACTCTCAAAATCATTGCATAGCTGGTATAGTGTGATAATATTTCTTGTTGTCTTCATATGTTAGAGTCGTGTACCAGTTATTGTTGCTCATTGGGGATCTGGAACCTCCTTCAAGAACATGGTTCATTTTGGTCAGGTAGGTCAGGACAGTTTTTGTTGCGGTTTTATCCTGTCATCGTCATGTGTCACTGATAATGATTGGTATATCTGTCCTATAGATGGTCGTCTCGGGCAACTGTCAGAAGTACGACTATGGCTTTTGGAATAACTATTGGCATAAATATGGACAAGTAAGTTAATGATAGAGGGATGGATGGATGGATGGATGGATGGATGGATGGATGGATGGGTAGATGGGCGAATAACTGGTGAATACATGCACAAATAGAGGGATATTCCTAAACCAATCTACTAATCCGGCCATCAACTATATTCTATCTTCACCTCCTCAGTTCACTCCCCCAAAGTACAAGGTAGAAAAGCTAACGACACCAACAGTACTGTACTCAGGCTCACACGACAAACTAGCCTCCCCTCTCGATGTCCACAACCTGAAGCAGCGCATCCAACATGTCACTGTACACGCAGAGGAGATTCAAGGATGGAATCATGCTGACTTTCTCTTCGGCATGGACGCCCCCCAAAGGTTGTACTCAGATATTATCACGAGAATGAAGGTTCGAGAGTGCTGCGATAAGGTCTGTCATGGCTCGTGTTCTACGCCATCGTGTCAGTCACGTTGTAACCCAGCCAATAGCCAACCAGTAGCTTTGTAATTACACAATATTTACCATTCTCTTACCCATTAAGTTCCTTCTTATTTCACAACAATATTGTATGCTGCCTATACAAATGAGTGGAGTCTCGCTACAAAATTTACATTGTTTTATAATATTATGCTTTCCAAAATCTTTTGCAATTTCAAAATATTTGTACCAAAGTTTATGGAGATTTTCAATAAAATGTTAATAACAGCAGATCGGCCACTCGAATACTTCTTTTTCTTTTGTTCCCTATTTCCTTTTCCTTTCCTTTCCTTTCCTTTCCTTTCCTTTCCCCAAAATGAAAACGTAAAACGTAGAAACAAAAAGTAAGAGAATCCAGCGAAATTGAACGAGATAGCTTTGGACATTATTCCGGCATTTAATATATAGGCCCAATAAGGGGTGGTGTTTTTGGGGGACGCAGATACAAATATCCTATATTTTGCTCCTCAAATATTCTGTATCGATTTTATGGAAATATGCGAATCTGTGTTTGATAAAATACAGCAAAAATGCTACTCGTGGCAAGAATTTATTTCCCAGGAAATCCAGCTTCCTAAAGTAAGCATGGTATGTATATATTCTAGTATATTCTGTTTATCTAAAAAACTGAATTAAGTTATGTTAATTTAGCAAGCATTAAAGTATCCGTTCATGATCACATGATATTAGACTCCCAGGACCTTTTCATCGTCTCCATCGTCTCCGATAGTTAAAGGCTTAGTAGGATATTCGATTTGGGGAATTAGAAGGACGGTGTTCGTTCGCGGATAAGGGATTTTCTCGTAAAGAAGCTCAATACTTTTCAGAACCAGGCACAAATATAAAGATTCAAAGACTCAAAAATTCTTCAGTGTAAATATTTTCTTTAATTCTGTTGATGACTTAATTCGGCCGAAAACGTTAAGGAAAAATACCACCAAAGAAACTTAGCCTTTTAAAATCAAATATAAAAATATATAACATAAAATATATATATAAACTTTGTGCAACCAAAAGAAACTATCCTGTTTCAGTTTGAAATAAAGCTTTATATTATCGAATTTTGCTTTTTAATCTTCTATATCACGACGAGTTTAACTTATCCGAACATGCTTTACAGCATTAAGATGTTAATGATGTTAATGTTAATATTAATGGTCCGGTATTACTTATACTACCATTTTAGACTGTGTGCAGTTATATATACCTGATAGAAACCCTCTCAATATTGTTCTTTAGCCTACAGCCTGTAATCCACTTTAAGGAAAAGCATGCACACTGCATGCCAACGGGAATAGTAACCAATCGTAGATAATTTTATATAGATAGTTGTACATTACTCTTCCTTAGTTTCTTCTTTTCTTTCCTCTTTTTTTTTTTTTTTTTCTTTCTTTCTTCCTTCCTTTCTTCCTTTCTTTCTTTCTTCCCTTCCTTCTTTCCCCCAGTTTTAATTACATCAATACAATAATTACCCAAACATGCAAGCATTATTTGGAGAATTTGGACAACTAGGTATAATTTTAAGACTGAATTGATCTTTTTCTATCTTATCCCAAAACTAAATGGTCATAATTTGTGATTCAGTTCTCGTGGCAGTATCGGTACCAACGGTATGACCGCAAAGTGAGTCAGGGAATGTTAGAATGTTCACAAATAATTAATGAACGGTAAAGTAATTAAGCGGCACCGAGTCAACGACGAAACACTTTGAAATTCAACCGACCTTCACTGGAATGAATGAATATTCCAGCAACAAAGTCTAGGCTAACCCTGAGCAACAGAGAACTCGAAACGGGGAAATATTAGTTACATCTTATCACTGGTTTCATTGCCACGCCGTTAATCAAGACGGACAGAAGTCGCTACCATCAATCAAATCTTTCCCATGTGCCATCAATCAAATCTTTCCCATGTGCCATCAATCAAATCTTTCCCATGTGCCATCAATCAAATCTTTCCCATGTGCCTTTTCACGGTTCCCCTACCTTTATATACATATTCTAACGATTTCTTTGAATGATTGGCCCTTTAACCTGTCGTATAAGATTCTCTTGGTAGCGCGCGCGTAGCAATGAAAACATTGGTAAAATATCATGCATCCACTGTGTATGAACAGTTAATATATAAAACTGTCCGATAATTTTCAAATTTCCTCTTGGCTTGAAAAAATGAAAAATTAATATGCAAATGCTATCACGTACATATACTACGGTGGCCTCTGTGTCTATTCGCAGCAGTTATATTTACGGCTTTAATTCTTCGCGTTCTAGTGGCATCTGTATGCCTATCTTGATATAGCGCCCTGATTAAAGCCTGCTTGTATAAATATCCCTTGAAGCTTGGTATTTTAACTCTCTCAAACCAAACAAACCCCGCATAAAGCAAAATCCTTTGGGTTAGCCGATCAACAGCAGGGGTTGATCAGCATAATCAGCACATGTACCGGTACAAGGATTCCCATCCCTTTAGGCTACATTAAATGTTTGAAAGTGTTTTGTTCTCGAAGATGTGTAATCGTACGGCTAAGCTCCCGTAATGATCGCCTGAGAGCATTTAGTAACTTGTTAATAAGTATTATCTTGTATTGCGGTCTCTTTTTAAAGGAAATATAAAAAAGACGCTCGAAATCTAGTTTCATCTGCGGGATATTCTGCTGAAGTTTATAAATCCAAACTTATCGTGATTGAACTTCATCAATCTCAGTAAGATATTTGATAAGTTAGAATACAGTGTTTGGACTGTTTTCAATGGGCGAAACTCGCTACTAAAACTATGAAAACTATCTAGATCAAATAGTGTCTTATACGTTCTGTATTTTTTTTTTTTTTTTTTTTTTTTTCTTTTCTTTTTTTTTTTTTAAGGCGTTTTTATCCGAAAAGCGGTGAGTTGACGAAAGCGTTACTATTAAGAAAGTGTGAAATCAGCGCGGGTTTCTCTTTCCTATCGGGGTCTTTCCTTTTCTCATTCTTTCGATTGCTCCTTATTTTAATTTCTTTGGTTTTGTTAATTTTTTTCTCAGTTTAAGGTTTCTTTCTCTTGACTTTCCTTAGTTCCTTTCGTCGTTCTCTCTCTCTCTCTCTCTCTCTCTCTCTCTCTCTCTCTCTTTCTTTTTACCTTTTCTATGCATGCTTCTTCTTTTTTCCAACCTTTGTTCTTTAATTTGATTGATCTACTGCTGTAAATGCTGAAGCAATCAAGCTTTAACAAGCCAAAAAATATACAAATCAACCAAAATGACCGATCATCACCGATACATTCAAATATTCATTACTAGTAATCGATTTGAAGAAGCACTTGTAATGTTTACAAAATCTCCACTCATTGATTCATTATGGTCATTAGCAGCCATTAATAATTCTCTTTAGTTTTCCATCATCCATCTCCTCGACTAGAACTAGTCATAAGTCTAAGTTGTAGGCAAGAAAACCTGAACTCAACTGATGTATTTATTGCTAAAAACCGCATTTTTGGGTTGCCTGTCTGCGAATGCACCATTCATGTACCATTCGCAGCGACAACTAAAAATGTTTTTAAATATTTCACCCCTTTCCTGAAATCGCAAAATAAACTCTATCGATACGTTTTAATTTTAATAAAGTTGAAAAGGCTTTCTCGAAATAGGATTTCAGTGGATCGTTATCTTTGGTATAATTTGGTTCTACCCAAACAGCTAGTTTAAATTTGGCTTCAATTCAGTTGTGTGTTCAGAACTGAGTTCGTACTCGAGCGAACTCGGGAAAAAAAAATTCACTCGCAAAAATCGAAAATAAAGCTTGCTATATTCCCACGTTCTTGATAGCACTTTAATAAAGAAAGATTCCAGAGCTTTATTAAGAAAAGAAATAGCGAGATAAAACGATATTAAAAAATAAGTATCTTGCTGAGATTTTAAGTAAATCACTAAGCAAGATCAAGCGGTCCACGCGGAAGTCCTTGATAGTGAGTTTTCGTTGACGAAGTAATGTGTGCTAAATGTTAGATGTTTTTTGATTTTTTGAGCTCTCTTTTCCTCGAAAATTTATTTCAAATCACTAATCATAGATCGTGTGATTATCAGTGTACGTTTATCTAATTTCTTCAGGCTTTTCAGTGAAAAAAAATAATAATATTTATTTGCGAACAGCTTGTCTACGGCGTCCCGCTTATCGTAGTTAGGAAAATGAAGACCTCATTTTTTAGTTCAAATTCTTTCATGCCCTAAGATCAACATTATTTTAAAACACGTATTCTTTTAAATCAGTTATCATCCTACAGATTTAAAGTAAAGATCCTAAAGCCACATTATCAATATTTTGGCATTTTAGGATGGAAACCTTACAGGAATTTTTGCAGGATAATACCGATGTTTGAGTGCTCAGTTGTCACACTCTTCTAATCTTGATAAACGAGTAGCCATTTCTTCTGTAATAAATTCCAAGCCAAGATCACTGGCTTTAGTTTGTTTGTCTTGCTTGAAATCCCTTATCTGATATAATTGCTATATTTTGCATGGCTCCTAAGACTTCATAAAGCTTTTGAAAATCATTAGTACCGTCCATCCATTTTGTTTTTTCTCTGCGCGCGTCATCTAGTGACTTGGCTATTCCGGTCTGAGATGAATGATTTACTCTTCACCAAACAATAAACACTAAAGGTTTTAGTCGATATTGAGCTAACATGTGATAGAAATCTCAAAAATTGTTGGCAAAAAGGATAATTTGATGGCGAGATAAAATAGGTATATAACGAGCTGAAGATTTGACCTTTCACAGAGACTAGTGTGGAAGTCGAGTTGCATTGAGCTTGAAAAATCTAACAATTCACAAGTAAGTAAAACATATTTTGGAAGATACATTAAGAAAAAGTTTAAAAACAATGAACTAAGATTTTTATTCGTTTACCCTAGAAATAACAATCGTTGAATACCGTAAAGTATATTTGCAATGACGTGGAATTAGTTTTAAAATATTTAGCACTAATTACTTCATTTCGAATACTTATGAAGTTTTTGAAGCATTCCTTGTAATTTCCTCAGGTTTGTTTTAGCTTTTTGATGTGTGCTGTTGAGACTGGTTACGTTAGAGCATTAGTATTTAGCAAGAACGAAAAAAGAAAGAAAAAGAAGAGGGCAATCAAGAAAATAATTTTAAACCCAGAAAAATACCCAGAACGAATCTGAAAGAAAGAAAGAATATAAAGCAAGACAAAGATTAAGAGATTAAGGACACTGACACTGATTTTCTTTTTGCTAAGAGTTGCAATTGTCCCTAGCTTGATAACTGAAGAGATCTCTTCTTTCAATAAGCACTGAGTAATTAGAGAAAGGAATAGTACTAAAGTACGAGCCATTTTATATATTAATGGAAAACATTTTCATTCCATTATTTGGTGCATCGTCATCGCGGCTTCATTTCATTCAATTGATTCATAAAATTAATAAATTGTAAACAAAAGAATCCTAACGTTTTAATAAACCATTAATTGACTAAAAGTAAACACTAAGTATTTTTAAAAGCAGCAGAAAGATAATAATAATAATTTAGTGATAACCATTCAATTCAAATTCATAGAAAAAAGTTGAATATTCGATTTTGAACAGATTTCTTACGAAAAAATAAATTTCACGGAATTCAAGTAATTATAATTACTTGAAATTAATTTCAAAATACATTATCTTTGGGTGCGATCATTTTTGTTTTTTCAAGTAGACACTTGTATTTCAATCTATCTCTTCAAAAACCCTTAAGACCGCACTATATTTCATTTGCCAGGATCCATTCTAACATTAAGCCGGACTGCCTGTCTTGGAAGTATGAAGATTGGCGTCACATTTTGTTGAAAGAAAAACATCCGAATATTTTTTACGACAAATAGATGTCGGAAAAACATTTTTTGTTGAAATGATAACAATAAGATAAAGTTTTTTTGGACATCTGATCTTTTTACTTAGTCTTCGGGCGGCGGCATAACATTCTAGTTTTGATATTAGCCTGTTTGCTGTTGTATGCTTGTGACAGCCTCTAGCAAAACGCGAACAAAGATTTTCTGACTAATGGATTGATTGTTGAACAAAATGCTATATACATTCTGTAACCTTTCAGTTATAAAGAGTTTCAGTAGGATTTATAGATGTCTTATGGCCATGATATTCAAATGTATTGAAGTGTGCTATTTTTTGAGTAGCTCTAGGACTTCTCTTAGAAAGTGACCTCCTTGATTGATCTGTGCTTCCTCTAACAAGTGTCAATGCCGGTTGATGTACTGTAACATACAAACGTAAATCTTGACTCTTAAAGTAATGCTAAATTAGAAAAAAATCTCTTTATACAAACCTTTGTAATATTTCAAAAACACGATCAAAATAGTAAATGTTACGATTTAGGCGTCAATCCTCATAAAGCTTTAGATCGCGTGACTGTTTAGCTTTGAGTCATGTGTCTGTAATAATAATAATAATAATAATAATAATAATAATGATGATATTTATTTAGACACGATTGATATTACAGCATGTTAGTGACGCAAGGGCGTGGACGTACAGGCGGGGCGAGGCGAGGCAAGGCGAAAACTTTTTATGACATGACAAAAATATAAAACCAAAATTTGTTTCAGAACGAATTTTTTAAAGGGAATTTTAAGTTTTTCGTCATTAATAATTAATTAATTTCGTCAATAATATTTAACCTATCCGAATTTTAAGTTTTTCGTCATTTTAATCTTTTCTCTCCTGGCTAGTTTTCTTCAATAATATCTAACCTATCCGAATTTTAGGTTTTTCGTCATTTTAATCTTTTCTCTCCTGGCTAGTTTTCTTCAATAATATTTAACCTATCCGAATTTTAGGTTTTTCGTCATTTTAATCTTTTCTCTCCTGGCTAGTTTTCTTCAATAATATTTAACCTATCCGTTAAAGGAATTCATACTGCCGAATAGCTCACATGTCAAATAAAAAACTGAGGGAGTTCCCACGCATTTTATGCCCCGAACTGTGTGACAGTCTCGCATGCCATCGTTTCAAGAATGTCGATCGAGTGTCAACTTGGTCTTGATAGATACTCATTTCTCTAGACAAGAATCTTCTTCATCGCTTGTGCTTGGGAATAATACTATTTCTTATGTCCTACATTGATCATAATCCTGTCTATAAGGTGTTTCACTTGTACACAATAGCTTAATCATTTTAATAGATGACTTGTAATAGTGTAGGTTTTATCTAATCTTCTCTAATATAACAAGAAAAACGGCGTTAGAAAAGATTAGCTGTGAAATATGATTAATATGGGTTTAAAAATAGTGTGGAAATTTCCAGTAAAAAGAAACTCGAAGAAAAAAAAACCAAAAGAAAAGAAAAACAAAACAAAACAAAAAACAAAAACAAAGAAAACAAAAAACAAAAAAACCAAAAAAACCAAAACAAACAAAAACAAACAAACAAACAAACAAACAAACCACATCAAAATAAAATAAGCAAAAATATAATTAAAATGTAGAATATAAAATAAAAAATAAGAAGTAAAAAGGGGGGAAATGTAAGGAAGAAAATAAAAAGGGTACGGTACTGTTCCTTTGAGGAATTTTTCTCACATTCTGGTAACTTTAATGTCGGTATATTTCGGAAACGAATTGAATTTGTCATTAATTGCAATGGAAAAGCAAAACATTATTTTATTTTCAATAGGTAGTCCTTAAGACATCGTTGATTTTAACTAAGAGTCCTTGAGAATACGAACGTTGCAAGGGATTCTTGATATTACGCTGGGCGACAAGAAATTTTTATTTTGGATAAAGTCTCTTAACGGTGCCCAGACTATATCACATATTTTTCTAAGAGCAATATTTTTATCTTGATATACTAAGTAATAAATCCTTATACTTCAGAGGTTCCTATACTCTTCGTACTTAGAATGCAAGTATTCCCAAGAGAATGAAACGATAAAAGATATGGCGGCCATAGAAAATATGAGGAATTTATCTTTTGTTCAATCCAAGATGGCGGCTTTAAGAAAGAGAAAACCTTTCGAAAAGTAACAGCTTCCCAAGTCAGCTGATATTACCTACTGATTCAGAGCAAACTGATTTCCCTAAACTTATGGTGGCTATAAGTATGTGTTACTCTGAAAAATATCTCACAACTACAATTAGGCATGGATTTTTTTGAAGGTTTGAAATGCAGCTCTCGACTTTTCAAGCATTAATACCTTGTAGACATTAATATATACCTTATTCCCGTTAGTTTTATCCTAGTATTTTGAGAATAACAGCCTAGGTGGCGCTCACCTCTCACCAATGAGATCTGGTATTAATCTTTGTCCGGTTTACTTCCTTATTGTAAGTGAAGTTGAGTTCATAGTCCTCTGCTATAATATTTACCCGAGAAATCAGTTTTCTCCTAGTTCTCCCATTTTATTTTCTCCTCGAAAATCGATAGTTTAAAAATATCAATCGAATTTAAATGTCATTTTATATCATTATATATTTTTATATTATATCCGATATCATATTTTTTTAAATTTATTATTATTTTTGCTTTGTGAATGGGAAGTCAAAGTTTTCAATATCTGAGTGATTTTATCAGCATTATATTAAAAACTTGAATTCTCTCGCTCTTTGATTCGATATCCCCTTTTGTTGAAGCTCATCGCCGAGATCAAGTGTTATCTATATTGGATGCAAAGCTTATGGTCAAGAAGAATAGATTACAGATATATTAATGTCATTCTACCAATTTTGAAATAGAAGTACAAAAAGTTTTTGCCGATTTGGAGTAGGTCTGGCTTCGTGTTTGTCTGTGACGTCATGTATCACCTCAACCCAATCCCCTCCACTCCGTGTTCTATTAGTCCATGAATATAGAGATTTTATGTTGTGCTTTAGGCCAGTTATATACAGACTTTATGGCTATGGTAAAATATTACCGGATATTTTGAAGCGAATGTTGTACAGGTATTAAACATAAGGACTCCAGGGATTATCCGTGGTTTCCGAATCTCCAAGCAATGCGATTGGCTCAGGAATTTGTTTCGCGTATCTGATAGGTTTACGGTAGAAAGCCCCTAATTTGAGTGTCACGTTGTGCATTTCCACCTCGCCCGTCGTCTGTGGTTGCGCAACAATCTTTTTTTCTACGCAAATGAAGCTTAATTTAGCAAAAGAAGGGTTTGAAATTTTTGATTATAGTCTCTTGTAAACTCATTATTTGCCGGTAATTGAGACTGACTAGCTTTAATACACTTCTAACCAGATAACTTGTAATGCTACTTCGACTGAAAATTACAAGCCACTCGCTCGGTTGTATATATCTGTAATGGTTGTTCTTCCAAAGATTTAAAAAATTTTCTAAAATAAATTAAAATTCTGTTTCTTACATCTACAAAAATAATGGTGCGACACGGTGTTACAATACACACCCTACTAACAAACGCATATCTATCTTTAATATTATCACTTATGCTCATACAGATCAAAATATCTAATACAATTCAAGACCACTTGTCAGGAAAAGATTAACTGATTTAATCAATTATGAAACCTTGACGAATTATCAGATTAGATCCAGGAATCAGTCGGCACTCAAGCTTTATAAAACCACATCGGACTAGAGTTTGATTAAACGCAAATTTGAACTCAAAGAGAAAGAAGTTGCTAGCTCTCGGAGTTCGGAAGAACCACTACTCGAACTGTAAGTATTAAAGGCATACTCCTCCACGGACAAGATTTAAGCTGTACTGCTAGATGATACATCGATAAAGTTAATGTTGACATTCGTCAAAAGAAATTTCAATTTAAAGTTGTAAATGTCAGCGAAGATAAAGATTAAGAACTCCACTGATTCCGTAGGCTTTTCGTTGGTAGTTTGATGTTTGATTCTATCATATACTTGTACTTTTACTTTTACATATACTTTTCTTATCAACATTTGTAGATAGCGCTCAGTGTTCTATAAAAAATTAAGAATCAAGAGGGGAAAAAAGTTATTTATCTAACAGCTTAAAATCAAAAATGCACAGTGTTTGAGTCTGTATGAATTAGTGATTTACCACTATAGTTTTCTGCCTTTTTTTTTTTTTTTTTTTTTTTTTTTTTTTTTTTTTTTTTTTTTTTTTTTTTTGCAATTTCCATTCGTCTTTCAAGAACTCGTACACGAAATCCCCATCGGATCGTATGTATCTTTTTTGTGGTAGAGTCTGCAGTAATTTATTTTGCAATTCTTAAGCCTTACACGCTTCAAACTTTTTCCAAAGAACTGTAACAAAAATCATGGGTCTTGATGACTTTATTTTGTGCTTGTAAGGAYTTTTGTTTTAAAATTTAAGGACTTTTCTCGATAAGTACGGCTCCAGTCGGTTAGTTGACAGCACAGATCATTCTTTYATTCACTTCGTGTGTCTTTATTTGGTTGATACCGTGACCAATGTATTACTTCTTTCAGAATTTTCAACATGGACGCCAAGAAAATCATCATTTTTGCTGTCATTTCCTGCGTACTGCTATCAGTATGCATTGACCAAACATCTGCCCAAGGGGGGCTCCGGTGGGGACGAGAATATGAAGCAATGAATCAAAAGGAAGCTCCTCCAGTGGAATGGCCCGACATGAAGAGAAACTTCCTGAAAAAGAGAGGTAAAAAATATAAGGCGCCCAGTGATTTGATTCTCGGCTCATCTCGGTGCCGTCGTTTAGGAAGTCGCTCCAAAAATTCTCTGAAATAATACGAATAGACTTTACTCACGGGTTCCCATTTCAGATGCTGCGTCATTCCCTAGACCATCATTTATTATTTCAAAAGCAAGCCTTGATGAACACATTTGGGATATTGACATAACTCAAGTAATCATATTATCAAGATGACACGTGGTCTGAAATAGTAAAACATTAGGTTCATTTACACAATGATATTTCATGGAATGCCCCGCACAGTTATTCAGAAGCTTTCGATAAAACTGCATTTTTAACGAAAAATTTTCAAAGGAGATTATACCTTTGTAGCTTTTAAAAATACTTCTCGGAAGGATATATAAATGATCATGGATCATATAATGAGTGATAAGATTATCTTCGTATTATCTGCGCGTGCGCGTACACAATGCTGTTATTGGTTAGCTCGAAAAAACAAAAACAGTAAGTGCTTGAAGAGCTGAAACTCGAATAAAATTTCTCTAGCTACTTCTGTCAGATTTGACATATTTCACACAATTTTTACCTTTTAATACATACATTTTAAAACATATTCGTTTATGATGAACCAAATCCCCTATGTTTTCCCATTTTGGACTACGGTGACGTTCTGTCCTGAGAATGAGTTTCTTCGTTGGAGTTATATCCATATTTATGTGTCTTCTCAAGCTCATGCCCAACCATTAAACAATGAAATAATACTCTAGGGAATGACACGTTGTATCTGAAGTGGGAAAACCTTTACACCCAGTAGATTTGGTGAATTCAAGTAACTTTGGTATTTTCAATATTTCAGCTTTCAAGTCCGATGAACGAGCATAGAATGGGTTACAGCACCTAATGTCCACAAGACGTTATCGAACCAAATTCATAAAAATGTCAATAATTCGTAGCTCAATAAACAAACCAACACTGAAGTGTATATTATTTTCTAGTGTAAGTGTGCAGAGAAAATAAAATTCTTGCCCTTGAATCAGCCTGTTTACGTTGTCATTAATTTTCTAGTTTTGGGAAGCACGGGTGGCGTACTAGCGAGAGTGCTCGCCTCTCACCAATGCGACCCGCGGATTCAATAGGCCACTTGCAGCACGTGGGAATGCAGATTAATTTGGAGGGCAAAACAATAAGTTTCTTTTGTTTTGTCCTCCAAATAGATCCCTTGCAGCACCTCGGAATCCAGGAGGACATAGCAATAAATTCCCAACTCTCTTGAGATTGAAATTCTTTTGTTTTGTCCTTTAAATTGAGCTCCGTTGAAACCACATGCAAGGTTCCTATTGCTTACTATCAATCACGTGACTTTTTTGAGTTGACTGGGGGGCAAACRAGCAGTTGACTGGGGGGCAACTAGCGGATGCTAAGTCAAAACATATCAAAATAAGTCCTCAAAYTATTGTATTTGACTATTTTCACGACATCAAAGCAGAAAACAAGAGATCAAAACAACCTCCAGGATTCTACAAGCCATCAAAAAAGAGCTATTACCGGAAGTGACGTCTATTGATAGCAACCTATTCCCCGGACTGTGCGTGTGTGCATTTAGTACAAAACACACATGAGCGGTATTTACCGAATGAGAAAAGGGCCGTGCTTAGACTTTGAGTTAGTTGTGAATTGAGGAAAACAGGAGAATAGAGACCTTTAGCAAGACGTTCTTACTAGCCCCGCAAACCTCAAACTGCAGTTCGACGTCAGGCCTTTTTATTCAAACTTTCAAAATTTATCAAGGCGTCATAACGAAGTTGTCGTTGCAAGAGTGGCCATATTAAATTTCATTAATTTCGTAGAATTACTGAATAGATTTAACCTTGGCAAAATGCCAACAATGTCACGCCAATGCCTTTGTCGATGAATAACTAAACCGTACCGGCATGAATCGGAAAAAAATGTGTTATAGTTAGTTAACTTGATCGTGAAATTCATGTTCAGTAAAATGCAAACATGCGCATACGCTTTTAATTCTTTCGTGCGCAGCTTTATTCGGTGTCGTCTATTTTCATACATTTTGGTGACTGCGGTCTGTGTGTGTGTTTTTCTCACTGCTTTGCTTTAGTTTTGAATCGCACAACATCAAGATTCAAAGAACACTGGATTGCGGTTTATTTGTACGAAACGCTTATCTATTCTTCTACTGCACGTTACGTCATCGCGGCCATGTTGGTGCCATTTAACAAAAGATTTCTCATTAGCATCCATTGTTAACGGTACCACAATGGCCGCCATGTTTTTGTCTTTTAACTATATTGGGGATGCTTGCAACCCATCAATTTTGGCAATACTACAGTTAAGTCAGCTTTTTCAACCTCGCGCTGTTATGTAACCTATCAATACGAAGAATGTGACGTAATCGACTGCCATTATAATATGACATATACGTAATCAATTAGTCTGTAGATTCTGACGTAATTTATTGTTATGGTCAGTGTGACGTAATTGATAGCTATGAACTACTTGACAAAATGCTCTAGAGATTGTGACGGAATAAATTATCAATATGTCCAATGACATAGTTACACGTTTTGTACGATGTTACTTAATCAATTGCCATGTAAATGTTATGTATAACGTAATGGCATCTATTGTCATGAATGTTAATTCCATTAGGCCAAAGGCCGGCACGTTTCGCTACTAGTGTGCTATAACTTAAAGCCTAGTAGTAGCTCATCCAATCAGAGCACAGCATTGGGTGATGATAGACAACTAGCTATCTGGATTTGATATCATTTCTTTCATTTCATAAGCTCTGTTTTGAATTTTGTTGGCAATAATGAGCTCTGCTAGATCAAGGTGCTAGGTCAAAAGAATCGGGTTGTAATTCTTTGGGTCTTTCACAAGTCTCCCTGCTGAAAAGTGCGGGGAAAAATGGTTTAGGGTGTGTCTATGTATTTACGTATTTAGGACGACAGCTTCCATGCGAGGCTATGCAAAGCGCTGCTTTTACATCTTTTCGATGGCGGAAAGGGGAATAGTATTTCATGTCAATGCTAATACAGTCCTTCTTCGCCTCTGCGCGGTATAATTAAGCCGCGTGGGAAGAAATTTGCCGAGGCCATGATTGAGTGGCACGAAAGGTGGTTCTGAAGAAGCGTTCCGAAAGGGGAGCTGGCAAAATCAAAAGTCTGTTGTCTAACTGGGCGTATGTTGTAACTTAGCATTTGGGGTCTAAATTTTTGATTTACCAGCGTAATTAAATAGGTACTTATGGTCACTAACTGGGCGTACGTCGTAACTTAGCATTTGGGGTCTAAATTT